TATATATATATATATATATATATATCAAGCATGATAAACATAGCTACATACCAGAATAAAATATTAAAGTATTTACAACCTTACTTACATTATCTATAAAGTTCTTATAACTCGAACTGGTTCGTTCTGAATCGTTAAATACACGGAAACCTAAATTGTGAAACATGACCCTGCAAATGGCTTCTAAAATCTGCTTCGTTTCTGTTTTGTTCCACTGATTGTCATTATTCATATTGGTTTTCCAATAAAAAAGTTGTTCCGTTGATACCAAGAATATCGAATGGTTAGGATATTTTTCTTGAAGGACCTTTAACGCTTGCTGTGCAATATTGTCTAATGACGCTACTATGTATGAATAAGACACATGTTCCTGAGGTTTGCACCATTCTGCCATGAAAGTTGCTGTCCATTCTGAAATCTGCTGCGCAGCAGGCTGACTTGTGAATCTTTGCCACTTCTTTCTTAATTGACATTCCTTCAGGTACATGGAAACCTTCTGGGCATAATACTTATGCCTTAAGTTAGTATGTCTATCCCTAAAACATATATATTTATATATATGGATAAGCTATGTGATAAAATTGCATGGATAAGTACGCGATAAAATTGCATGGATTTGTGTAACAGCAATAGTTTATTAGATCTTACCATTCATTACCTCGAAGAATTTCATTTACCTCATCCTCAAGGTAATAATATTCCAAAGGATATGTATCTCCGTCTTCCATACAGAAGACGCGCTTGAAATTCAACATGTCTTTAAAACTCAAGTCTCCCTTGTAGTAACTTCGGTCATATAACCTCGAAAAGTAATTCAGTAATTTCTGCCTACACTTAAGTCGTTCTTTTATTTCCTTTTTGATCCTTCTATGTCCGTCACACCAATGTTGATTACAAACTGTTTTTAGAGCAGGCCATCTAAAATTACCAGAATGTTTCGTGCAACTTTCAAAAATGAAATACAGAATGTAGAAATGTATTTTTTATCATATATAAAATACTCTGCGACTGTTACACAATAAACGACTTTTGGTCGCTAAAAGTCGCCTAATATATAAAATATTCTGGATTATTGTTAGTATAAATGCATATGTGATACCTCTGGAAAAACTTGCACCTCCATAGGGCGTTGTTTTTGTTAATCGTCGTGTAGAATAACTTGCAGGTTAAACTAAAGTTCGCAACATCTTTTATGCTGATGTTCTCGTTCTCCAGAATCAGACAAATCACGTCGTCCGGCAAGCGTGTTACGTTGGCCATCGCGAGGAAAGTTGTACAGAACAAGAAATCATATGATTAACGATAAATAACAGTAAATCCGTCTACCGAGCGTTCCACAAAGGAAATGCGCACAACCTACCGGAAGCAACTTTCCTACACTGATCGCACAGCTGTTGCATGATCGGTCTGTTCTTTTTAGCTCGACTGACTTCGTACTGGTTCAAGAAATTTACATATATCTTTAGTCCGTTTTTTTCTGCTGAATTACTAACTACAATAATTCGAAAATATTTGTCCCGGCTTCCGAGTTATCGCCGTGTCCTTCATGGATTTGTTTCCGACCTTTCGTGAATATGTCACAGTTCGCTTCTTCACAGTGAGGTGCGACTAACCAAGACTAATGCCAGTATTCATAGTCGGACTTCATATTTAAGGTTTCCTTAATTTCATCTTTAGATACTGTACGGCTCATTTTAGTGGCTACAAAGCAATCTAAAGATGAATTTAAGGAGGACTAAAATATAAAGTCCGACTATGAATACGAACACAGGGATGAGCAATGTTTATCGATTAATCTAAATAACCGACCATTTTTCTCGTAATATATATAAATTTTATAATTATTGACCATTTTGTTTGAAAAATACAATGCTATCGAGTTCATAATTTATGATATAATATTCAAAATATATATATAAGTCCTAGGTACGAATCCAAATTTCACTTTTAAGTAAAAAAATGTTCTGATAACCCAAGTATGTATATGATCCCAACTGGACACGTTGTACCTTTGTATTGATAAAAAAAAAAAATCTTACATTAACGTTACTTAACAAATTTGGCACATGATAAAACTAGGAAAAATATGTAAATAGCTTGAAATATATTCTTAAAATTACAGAGAAATCGTTTCTTTTAGCAATTAAATAATTATCACAAATTTATCATAATCATATGATATAATTATAGTAACAAAACTTTATCATGCTATTACTTGGAAAGCATTCGTTCTAAAACATTGAGTAATTTATCCTGACGAGCCATTGCTTCTTCATGCATCTTGCTGCGTTTAATAGTACTTTCTTCTATGGCAGCAATTAGTTTTTCCATTGTAGAAAATTGTCTTGGACCTGCGATTACATACATATTGTAATACAAATGTAATATCTCAATTTTTCCGTGAAAATCATATTTATTGTACTTAAAAAAATGAAATAATACCATATATAATTACACTATATTATATTAAAAGTATATTAGTTTAAATACTTACGCTTGAGAGGCAATTCATTGTTGCATGAGGACGCTTTAATTCTGTCATCATCAATACTATTTAGGAAATATAATTGTTATTAAATTAACCACAATTTTTAACATAACACTTCTTCATAAATAACATTTAAATAACACAATTACCTATAGTCTTATTTAGACAAATTGTTACTTTGTAAACGTACAATTTTTAAATATAATTAATTTTTGAAACCTTGAGAAGAATTTCGTTCGATGTTCATTTAGTATACGACATAATTAGAAACAATGTACAAATAACAATATATTTTTGGAGTTATAAAAAATTGTTCTTTTCGGTATCGAATAATTACTACAAAACTATCTGAATATATAATTAAGTTATGCAAGTCAAATCATTACTTGGTATGTATCTTCTCTAAAATGTCAAGTAATTTATCTTGACGTATCATTGCTTCTTTGTGCATTCTACTGCGCTCGCTGCTACTTTCCCCTACAATAGCCATTATTTTCTCCAACTGTTTTAAACCTGTAATCGCAACATACATTGTAATACACAGAATCTTGTTTTTTTATATATATAAATCATAATACATGTAGATTATATTTAAAGATGAGAGAAAACACAATTATACTGTATTATACTAAAAGTACTATGACACCTACGTTTAGAAGGTACCTCAGGTTTAGATGAACCAGTTTTTTCCACATTAACACTGTGCTCAGATAACGATGAAGTTGAAATATTATTGCTTGTTGCCGAAGTTGGAGATACCCATGGCCTTTTCTGGTACATTTCATCCATAATCTACAATATAACAACATTCTAATTAGAGTAAAAATATATATTATATAAAATAGGTTCATTTTTTGTACTTACATCAAAATATCGCCATCTTCGATTAGTGAAGGCATGTTTTCCATTATAATCCTTTGTACTTTTATACGTATTCCTTAAACCAGACATTTTACTCTTGCATTGTATATCAGTGACGATATAACCCTTTTCATTTAATTCAGAAGCAATCATATTCCAAAATTTTTTCATTGATATTTTACCCGACACAATTAAATGTTCTTTTTCCTTGTATATTTCAAGAAACACAAGAATCGCCTCGTGTGACCAACGAAAACCATCTGCAAAGTGACATATCGCCTGTTTACTTTTAATGTTAATTACAGTGTTTATTTTAATTTATATTACCACGTTTACAAGGTAAAGTCTTTTTCTAAAAGAGTATAACGCATCATACCTTTCTCTGTAGAATCATCTGTAGTTGTCTGCGATTTCTCTGTAGAATCATCTATAGTTATCTGTGATTTTTTTCCGGTGGCAATAGAAGTCTCATCATCATCATGTAAAAGTACTATCAATAAATATAAAACATATATATATATAATTAATAATGAATATAAGAAGTTGATTCATATACATAGCTGCATATAACAAGATAAACAATATACACGAATTATAAATATTAACTTGTAGTAACAACACCACTCGCTATAGATGAATCATTACCTGTTTCTGGAGAACCTGGTTTGGGACTTGAACTGGATGTCTTAATCTTTTTCTCGGTAAGTGTTGTTAAGGAATTTTGCAAAAGTTGTGTCGCAAACGATGAATCTGTTCAAAAATATAAGATATAGGAGTTAGAAATTCTTTTTTCTTCACTTCACAAATTAAAAAACATATATTTATTGATATAGGTTATGTTGTTCTTACCTTGATTAGCCTTTACAGCATCTTCCTCGGATACTTCTAATGTGTACACAATTTTCGTATCAACGTCAAATAACTTGAGATTGGGCATGACTTTTGAATAAAATTTTATTTAAAATTTAACCTTTTTCAGATCACAGAGTACGGTCCACTTGATGATATGAACATTTCGAAGCGATTACAGTGTTCCAGTTGTATTAATCTTTCGTAGAGATCCAGTTGTATTAACAGCTGTATTCCGCAAACAATTGGAGTTTAAGGATGACTTTCACCGAACTCAAATTAAACTAATCAATGAATAACAAGAATTGTCAGAACCAACTTCCAGCTCTGTAATTCTTGTCATACGACAGTCAAATCAAGAAGTTAATTTCTGCTTGAGCAAAATACAAACAGGTAATGGCGTTTTCACCGACTCGACCCTACTCGGACAGCGTTCCGATAATCGCTACAGTACTGCAAACTATAGTATACGTAACATGAACTATATAGCGTTTTCGATTCGTTGATTCATCCAGTGCATTTCTAGAAATGCACCAATCAGAAGATAGTACGATAACACCGAGTTGAACGAATTAGCAAATTGAAAACGCCGTTAGGCTGCGTTCGGAAACCTCACCCAAGTGCGTGCGTGGAGTTTCGCGCCGGACTCAGGAACGTTCGGGTGATACCAAAGTGACGACGGTAGAGTGTCGTCCGGAAACTCAACTGGTTGCGTCCCGGGAGAAAAATTTTCCACTTTGAAATTTCGGTAACGCGATAAAATTTTTTTCTATCTATTGCCGCGAGCTGCTCACCGGTAGTGAGACAAGGACTGACAGAGAACGATTGTCAGTCTTTGTCTGTGTCAGTTCACTCGTAAACATAGCACGGAAAAGAATCCAACAATCTTATACACTACCTATTATTCATAGAGAAGATTCGTCGATATTGTGGTTTCCTAATTTACTTACACCACGCTCTGTTTTCACAACACTGATTTGCACGTATCGCAACCTAACAGATGCACAAAAAGGCAGAAAGAGATCTAAATTAAAAATAATTATATCAGAAAGCCAAAAAGAGACTAAAACTTTGGCATATTTTTAATATTATATTTTTAATAGGAACCAAATACATAGGTGTCAAATGTTGCTCGATTTTTGGCATTAATTTCTTTACATTTTATGTTAACAAGTTTTGTCCTATTTTTGCTGGCAATCTGCCAGCAAACTAAAATCTAATATAATAGATTTTTTCTACCAAATCTAATATCACTTTGTTAATAAAAATTTGATTTGATACTTTTAGTTGAGTGGGAGTAATGTGACATTAATATTGTAATTTCTCACAACAACCTAAATGTTACATATAACATGCAATGCTATTCTATTTACATAGTTAAGTGAGAAATTTTAACATTGATGTATAATCTTACTGTTACTCGATATTTCATTACGTTATTTACTATGTTATTTACTATATTAATCGCAATTATCACAGACATTACAATTTTTCCATTTTTTTCAATTTAAAGTAATCTCGTCTGAGGACGTGGGCGATTAAATTGCTCATTTTCAATCTAATCCACAAAGGAGCTACTACAATGAGACATTTCTGGATACTATGAGCCCAATATCCGGTACTGTTGTCTACTTTTCCGAGAGTGGCGACGGCGTTCCTCGCATAAGTCGTAGCATCAGGCACAAAAAGACTCGAAATCTGCATTTTTAAGTGAAATATGAATATTAGTTACTGGTATACTTATTAACATTAACTTTCTTAATTGTAGATGCAAAACTGTAAATCATTTACATTCGGATAGCGGAATAAACATATAAGATTAACGAACGATTCATTAGCCACGGGGCCAATAGAGTCGAAAAACACTTTCTTCCCGAGAATTTGTTTGCAATTAAGACATTGATTGAGAAAAAAATCGCAAAGCTTTCGACATGAATTAATATTTAAATTTTAACTTCTGCTGTATTATCTTATTCCGCGTAACGCACAAGAATCTAAGAGAGAAAGTGAGATGCAGCGGTTGTATGTACGCACTTTGAATCTATGACTGTATTCGTTCATTTTGGTAGTAACGAAAAACGGCGACAAATGTTGCACGGTTATGCCGAATCTGGAATATTCCATCCTAATCGACTCGGAGAAATTTTTCATGTACGTCTTCGAGGCGGAATATACTGCTATTAACGGTATGGGCGTCATCTCCGATGCTGAAGAGACGTTGACGATCGCGCCTCGTCCTCGCTGTTGCATTTGTCCGACGATCATTCGCGTCATTAACGTGGTCGCACCCACGTTTATATTGATGATGTCCCACAGGAGCTGCTCGGGCGCTTCTCCGAGGTACATAGGATAATCGTACATTTTGCCCACGTTGTTAACTTTGCAATGGAAGGAAGATGATTCAGATTAGAACTCAGAATTCTTGAGGAAATTCGGACAATTCGAACGAATCTCGAACTTAAACGTGAAATGCAGCGGTGTGTCGCGAAAAGAACGAACTGAAGCTACCTGTTTTTACCCGAAACAAGAACGTTTTATCGTCGCATCTTCTTTAATTCTCTATTCTTTAATTAATAACTCAAAAATTTGTGCCTTATTTGTAAAACAGTAGACTTTTTTATCCAAAATGGCCTATTCTATAAGTAGGAGATATTTGGGCTAGTTGGCTACAGAAGTAAGTGAAACAATTTAGATTTAAATAAATACAAGGACCCATAGAATAAGTATTTTAATTTTTTCGATATTTTTTTCTCGATTTCTCTAGGATTGATCGAACGAATCGTAACATTATTATAGAATCATAATTGCGGAGGATATCAGAAAAAAACAAGAATCGGACGTTTAATTACCTAATATGCCGACAGATATATTTTGTAGTTGAAGTTGAATTTTTTCGTAGATATCCTTCCCTTTGCTGAAATCCGCTACTATAATCTTCACCTCGATATGCGGGTTTATCTGCAGAATTTCACTCCTCGTGTTATCTAGTTTCTCGATATTTCTGCTGATTAGAATCAGATTCATGTCCCTCCTTGCTAATTCTATCGCATACGCTTTCCCAATGCCGTCAGTCGAGCCGGTAACAACTATATCAATATTTTTGATCCTCTTGTTTATTTTATTAATATTTATTTGTTTAGTATATCGTGCTATACGTATTTTTTTCGTTTCTCTGTCTGGTGTCAAACAAGACGACCGTAGCGAGGTCTACTAAAGTCATGTGAGAAGTCATGTGAGATTGAGCGTTATCAGACAGGAGAGAATAAAGTTTATCGACAGTTTATAAAAAACGATATCAAAAGAGAGGAAAAAAATAAACGTTGTTAAATATCTTATTGTGCGCTTACTCGCCCATTCACCGTACTCCTTTCGAAAGTCAATCTGCTTCCCGTCAATCATCGGTGTGAAAATCTCCCAAAGGATGCGTAGGACATTGCCTATGGATTCCGAGAGGAGCCATAAAGCGATTAGACCAACTAACAGCCAGAACACTATTTGCAACATCTTGCTTTGTTTCTTGCAATCTCGTCACGATCACCTTTAATTCGAAGAACAAAGTTGTCGTACGTAAGTTATCGTACATAAGTAGCGCTTATATTGCCTTCCGTGTTGCTCAATTATTACGCTTGATGTTAAATTTTTATGGAAAATGGTAAACAGAGAGAATCGACAATCATTAGTTGAACGAATAAAGTAGACTGGATAAATAAGATATTAACAGTGCTGGAAGACAATGAATAAGTAAGATGATAACAATACTGGATGACAATGAATTTTTTGCGAGAGATCGGCAAAATATTCAATGCGATTCTATTCAACGTAACTTAGCGTAGACTTTCGACGGACTAAGATCGAAGACTGAGATCAAAATCAAGTTATCAATCAGCTTAGATAACGATAAATTAAAGTCGAGCCTCGCAATAAAAACAATTATATATATTCGAAGCTATTCTTAGCCATTCGGTTAGTGTGCAATAAACATCAATAAGTTGGAAAAGTCACATGAATATTCAAATTGTGCATTTCGAATTGGCGCCGCGTCTTTCAAGAATTTTTATTCGACGTTTCATGAACAGTTCGCTTCTTCAGAGTGAGAGTCAAAACCTGAAACTGTTTCGATCCTCACCCCGTGAAGTATTTACGAAACGTCGGATACAAATTCTCGAAAGACGCGGCGCCAACTCGGAAGATACATCGAATGTTCATCCGCGAAAGCTTAAATTTTCACATCACACGAACCAACGAACGGGGCACGTACGTTAATTACTTTCAGTGGGAACCAGATTTCTCACTCTCTCATTTGCGATTCGTGATGCTCTCTAATTAATCTCCGAAAGAAGCACTATTGCCGGTTGTTTTTTCATACTTACGACCTCAGAGTGCGACGCGTCACTGATAGCGGCGTATATGTCGTGGAGCGTGCCGGCAAATTTTGATAATTTTACTACCGTAAAATATTCACTGCGAAAAACGTCGCGAAATGCACCGGGTAGAATTTGAGTCCCCCGCGCGTGAAAGTTTTCTTGGGCAATCGCGCGTCAGATATTTCGGTGCACGCGGTTGCAAAAGTACGCATGCACATACGATAATATGTACGTACGTGTATGCGTGTGTACGTGCACTTTGGCTAAATCCGAGTGACTGTGTCCGCACTTACGCAAATTCCCCGGCCACACTCGAGGGAGATGCTCGAAGAACGAAGGCCGAAGCGAGACTAAGCGGCATTTCGTTCGCGCGATTGCCTATAAGGCCAACGAGAAGTCTATGCCTTACACTTTCTCTATATGTCCGTCGAACGATCTCGCGATTGCATGAGGCGATTTTTTTTCCCAGTCAGGACCATCGTAAGTATTTTGCGCAGGATCCTCCACCTCTTTGTTCTCTCCGTTTTCTACTTCCTCCCTACGGCCATTGATCGGTCTTGTTGGCGTTGCCTAAACTTTGGCAAAACTACTCGCGGGCATGAAAGAGGCCGCATGCGGATTTGCATAAAAGCGGAATTTACGCAAAATTGTCTTTCGTTTGTGTACTTGTTGCGTGAGGAAATGTAGAAGCGAAATGTTCCTCTTGGAATATTTGACACTCTTCTTTGAGTTCCGTTAGGACAGTGTTTCGAGTCTCATTGGAAAAAATATGTTGCAAAAAGTGATAGATCGAAATTAAAGAGGGAAAATCTAATTCAAGAGCAGCTGAGTGAATTTTCAGGTAAATCTCAATATGTGTTAGTAATTTATTTAAAGTAATAAACTTATATAACATGTTATTCTCTAGACTCAAGTTTTTCTCAAGGTGAAGTTTTCTTTGCATGAAGTTTTCTATGCGTTTCCTTTCGCGCTGTTTTGCGCGGTAAAGTAATTATAAGTTCTTATTAATTATATCATCCAGAAATATCGAGTGTACAGACTATCCGGGATGGAGGAGCGGATTCAGTCACGAGGAAAATCGAGTTTCCTCGGACTCACGAGGAATTGAGCAGAAAATCGCCTGTTTTCTGCGTACCCCGAACTAAACGCCGAACTTTAGACACGCTCGAAAATTTTGAAGCACCCCGCTGACGTCCTACTGACTTTTTCTATTTATAAAGTATACGCAGCATAAATTTACTTATTTAAATATAATTTATATCGTTTATTTAAATTCAAATCTTATTTATTTAAATTTAAGGCAATTTAAAGAATCGACGTTTGTCACCGAAGGTGAATTTTATCCGTTGTTGCAACAATTTCGGTATTTATCGCTCGCTCGCGATTTATTAATTCACAATCTGGGCCCGCAGTCAGCGTTCTGTAAGCGTGCAACGTCGTAACTAACTCGGCTATTTAATTTGCTACTTCTCGTAAAACGACTCGTCCGTTCGGGTTTCTCGCTGTATATGTTGCCGCGTTGCAATATAATAGTTGCATAGTAGCATAATTTCGCGCACCAACATCGAAACCGGAAAGGTCCTTCAGACGCGATCGCCGCGCGCGTGCCTTACATCACGAGCAATTTCACTAATCATTCTTTCGCAGCTTCTACGTTCACTCTCGAAGGACCAAGGCTGAACGTTGACACCTCATTGGCTAATAACAAAGATCATTGGCTTACACGAGCGTCAGCATACATTTCCGCCCGAGGAACCTTTGATTTCGAATATTGGCCCAATCGCGCTTTACATTGATTTGTAATTCATTCGACGATTGAGCGATCTCATGTCTCGTGGTTGAAACGAGTCCGATTCTGATTGTAATTAGATATCCGCGTTTATCCAGGTATATGGGTAGGACTGATGAAAGCATCCCAAAAAATTGATGTCGGCATGTAATATATGCACTGACTGGTAAACGGTGGCCTTGATGATATGTAAATTGTTAGTGTTTCATAACTGCACAAGTACTCTCGTAAAAATCCATATGTACGTCAGAAGAAAAACAAAAAACTTATATGGTATTATTAGACAAAGTAGATAATACTACTAATAATAGCTGACTTGTATATATTTAAGGCTATCCGTTTTGTCGTTGTCAAGAATTGGCTGCTGCAGATAAAATGTATTCGCTGTACGAAGTAAGCCTATCGGCTGAAACTGAAAGTGCGCACTAGAGTATTGCTAATAGCATGAGTAGGCAAAATCCTAAATATCTTATCGTATCACAGGAATTTTATTTTTGATTAAAACACTGATTAAAAACGTTATTTGTTTTGACGGAAAATATTTCTCGCTGTGGCGTTTAAGCTCAGAGTTCGGTTGGTTAATCAAATTTCGACAGGAACACTATTAACAGTCAAATAAATAACTGTTCAATCATCAATGCAAGAAGTTTTTTGTTGGGCAAATTGTTGGTCTTTTTATATTTAGAAAATATTTAGGTTGGCAATTGTTGCGGCCTTACCTTGCATAATTAATGAAATATTATTCGTGAAATAATGAAGACACGAAGAAGAAGATTAAGTAATATACCTAAATCATCATAATAAAGAGAAATTCTTTTTTCCTAAAATCGAATTACGTCACGAAAGTTACATCATGTTCAAAGATGCACTCGTTGATAAAATGGTGTCCTTTCTCAAAAGTCCTTTCTTAAAAGTGAAAGATATGCGCGCTTTTACAGAGGAGTAAAAAGAGTGAAAGTCTTTAATGGTGGATTGCGAATTGCGCAACGAAAAAATGCCGGTATTTACATACTCTGCGAAATACGAGCCGACTGTTTTAACTCTGATAATAGTAATAACAATAACAAAACAACAGCAGCAATAACAACGACGGTGTTAAATTTTTGGACGCTGAGACTGAATATAAAATATGAATATGTCTGATAGTACTTGATAAAAATACATAATGCATATTTATATTGGAAGCTGCCAGAGTGCAGCGGTAACTTTACTCAAATGATATAACCGCCTTGTTCAAGTGCCATTTCGAATTCATAAACGAGTTATGTCTGTAAAAAAATTCGTGAGATCGAATAGTTTAAGATAGTTGATGCGTAAACCTATTTTCCTTAGGTATTTCTTCGAACTTGAACAGCACGTTAATCGAAACAAACAGTACAATGTCCAAAGTTTCAAAGACGTCTGGTCTTAAAATTATGATAAGATTAATAAAAGAAAGACCGTACTGAAGCTAAAATAACTGAAGTCAAAATTAACACTATTAACGACTACCGATGTCAAAATAGAAGTAATCGGAGAGTTAATTAATATGAATATTTATCATGTGTACATTAAGAAAATTATATCCTCCGATAGTGAGAATAAGCTTTATATGTTTCAAGCTTCTTTCGTCAATAACTTCTTAATAGATAACGAGCGACGATTGAAACTTTTCGAAGATTACTCAGGAGAGTGTAACCTATGAGGTATGTCAAGATTATAGAGGTGACTGGCATTACCTGTTGACCGGTATCCATTCTCCCCTAATGCATTTTTCTATCAAACAACATGGTTTACCGACCGGAAACACCAACAACTTCATTCAAACAAAACGATATTTGCCATTGAATTGTATTGTTCGTATTAAACGATACCATTGTTCATATTAAACACAAGTCGAGCAAATGTGTATACAACATCCCGAGAAACTTTTTCCTGTTACCCTAATTCAAAAGATCGACCGCTGGTCGATATCGAAAATCGGCCGTCGATAACGCCGTCGCTGACGCGAGCCGATCGATTACGTTGTACGATACAACATCGCGCGGCCTTTGGAATCTTTCAAATATACGCGAGGAAGGAGCAAACACACACGGTTCCCCGTGAGTGGGGAATCCGCGTGCTCGAACCCTCCGCGCGCAAAGGAAGAGGACGGTGCAAACAGGCCGAACGAAAAGTAAACGAGGACGAGCGAGAGAAGGCGCGCGCAGCGCCTCTTCATTCCACACACCGACACGTTCCTGAGGGCCTTCCAGGCGACCTCAGGCGATCGTCGGTCGCCACGAATCGGCGCGCTTGACCATTCGCCGTGTTCTCCTTACGGTGTACGATAGCCGGTGCACTTCGGACGCGTCGCGCCGACGCGTTTGTCCAGAGAATTCCGTCCTTTTCTGTTTGCGCCTGAAGTTTCTGCGAGAACAGGCTGCTAAAGAAAGCAAGTGCCCTTTGGTGAAGACTTTGGTAGGCTGTCGCAGGGCCGTCTCTCTCTCTCTCTCTCGCTTCGAACGCGACTTCGGACGCGGAATCTCCGCCGGTGAAGGTCTTTACAAAGTTTCGGGGAACACCGCCGCGCCCGTCATGCGTCCCGCAAACGTCGCTCGCTCCGTCCTCGAGGATCTGTCTTTTTCGTTCGATCGTTCGTCCACCTTGTGGCATCAAGTGATGGATTAACCCTTTGAATGCGGAGCACTTGGAAGTCGAGGACGGGACACTCCGGGCTGTCGTAAGTCAATCGGTGAAGAATGCCGCTCGTGGCAAAATCGGAAATCGATCAAAGCGCAAATGCAATCTTATTTCGAGTTTAATTGAGCTATACATATATAATTTATTCAGAATTATTAGATTTAATATTTAAGTCGTCGATAAGTGTACTTTCGCGAGGCGGTAGAATTTCGTTGGCAGAGTGACGTCACGTATACGGCGGCCGTCGAAATATCGGAGGAGGGAACTTTTGAGATTGAAATCTCCTGATTCGTAAGAAATTCGAAAACAGTCAAATCCGAAATCAAATGTGAATCTTGAATCTTGTAATTCCTATCGGTGCTTTCTTGAATTGAAATCTCATTTATCACCGTGATTGAAAATAACGTAAAAAAAAAGAAATGAACACGAGTACCGGTCGCAACTGTTGCGATAATAACTATTGTCTGTGACGAGAGTCGAAGAGATTTGTCGGACGCGTATGTACGCGTCGCGCAGTTCACACCAATGACACTTATCGAACGCATACATGCGTCCGTACCATTCGAAAGTACTCAAAAGATTGAGCAAGTCTCCGACTGACGTCGGTGTTTTCGATGTCCACGACGATGACGAAGATGGTTTCATGACGACGCATTCCTTCACGTAATTTGTGAGATAATAATAATCGCGAGAGAGTGTGAAGGACACGGTTGATAATCGATCACGGTTAATTGTCTCTCATGCATTATAATTTCGTATATGATGATCTCACTTAGAGTGACTCGCGTTATTGAGGGTATCACACATATACCGTCGCGGAAGCGGACTTCCTATATATCTCTCGGGTATATTAATAAATCACGCCCGGTTCCCCTCTCATCGGAATTCCACTGAATCTTTGCCTTTCTCTTTGTTAACGCTAACGTTCGCGTTAATTAATTCGAATTGCGTCAGTCAATTGTATTTTACCTGTCTAATGTGATCCTGATTCAAGATTCTATTGTGTGCTGTGTTACTATTGTTCGGGGTCGGATGAATTTTCTTTCTAACCAAGTTAAAAGTCACTTGCTTATACAAACTAAAACTGATGAAAAGTTAATATACTAAATTAACTTATTAAGATTAAAATTTAATTAATTATGCAAAGCGTATAAATTTGATAGTGATTCAAGTAAAAAATTATCTCCGAGTATATAAGTGATCATATACATATTAAGTATCGTATTCGCTATACTGGGTAGCGCGTTCGAAATTACGGAGATACGAACAAAATTTTCGCGAAACGGCAGCAGCATGATAAGAAGCGCTCTCTAACGTGGCGTATATCTCGTTGTTGGTCACCATTCGCGTTGATTGTTTAGCACATTCCTCGCTGATTATTCTTCGTTACGTCTTCAATCTGTCACTTGATATCAGCAAGTCCGCGCGAGTTGTTGACGATCACGTGGCTAGCCGAGGCGTTCTTCGTGAGTATCGAGAGTCGATTCATCCGACGAAAATATTACGATGACGTGTTTCTTCGGCACGATGCCGGTGAAATTGCAAACCGTTCAGCAGCGCAAACAACGCACGGATTTTTGTTAAACAAGTGTAACATACTAATAGCATAATTTACTAGACTTGTATATTTCGTAACTAGACAACCTAGCATCGTCGATTGCCACTGTGAATTTCGCGGAGAGCCGTTGCGGTGATCCAAAAATCAATTTACTTTACATTTACCGCGCTTCCCGTCCGGACCAGCTTCCGCAATCTCGGCGAAGAACGAGACATTTGGCTACATTGTGTAGTACGCGGCCGCGTACCTGCGTATTACTTGCGCTGTGACCGTAACATTGGCCTAGAAAGTCACGCCGCAGCTCGCTCTTTATTGTTCGTGTCGCCGGGGGGAGAGAGGGGATAACGCAATAAATAATAGTAGCGAATCGTGGAGAAACGGAGTCCGAACGATGAAACGGCCGCTCCATTAACGGCCGATGACTGGTTATATCGCTAGAGACACATGTGCGAGAGGTACGCGCATATGTTCCCGTGCTGGCAATGATTATGATCGTGCCACTTTGCAACGCGATAGCCGGCCGGTAGTGTGCAACGACCAGCCACGAAAACCGGCTTCGGAAGACTGCTATTAAGGGGTGAACGTTGACTCGCTAATATTTGCTTCCTCGCTAAGTATGCTAAGTAAATCAGGTTTTCGTGTCCGCGCCGATACAACCTGCGACCATTCACTACGCACGTGTAAACGCTAACGAATCGAGTAAACGTCGTTTTTACGCGCCCGCGCTTACTCGCGCGCGGAATTATACGAAATCTCAACGCCTCGTCGGTAGCGACTTATTCCCGGAAAATTCTCGCTAATTCTCGCCAATTCCTACTAATCCGCGCTTCTCACTGGCTTTCTCATCGCAGAATCAATCGTCCGCACGATATTTCGCAAGGAGGTGGTTCGATGCTCGCGGCGGACAAACGATGGCAGGATGTCGAGTGTGGAGGATAATTTTATCGATCGTTGTAATATGGAGAGCGACCGCATACGGCGCGGACACTGTGCTAATTCCGCCGAACGAAGGACCCAAGGAGCCGTTCGAGCCGAACAAATACATCTACTCGTGGACAGGGCCGAACGCGTTGGCCAGATCGGCCTTGGTGGAGCGACAGGAGAGGTTGCAGTATAATTGCGAACTGGAAAGTAAAGACGCCGATATCGGTGCTTTAACTCCGGAATCGTTCAGAAATATTCTCGTGGACGACATACACGAATTGCTTTACTGCTACGTCCCGAAGGTGCCCAATTTGTTTTTATTGCCTCGCCTTATACATTATTTCAACAGCTCTCAATTGTCGATTGATTCAAACTATGTAGCTGTGTGACTCTGAAGGATAACATTTTATAATTATTACAATTATTATGTAAGACATTCTCAATCGTTCATACGCCCGAATAAATTCACTCAAATGCATCTTTCATTTCGAATAGATTCTCCCCAACTTCAGAATGTATAATAATATATAGCGTAATATATTACACTTGATAACGCTGGATCGTTGACTGGGCGCGAAAAGAGTGCACTGTTTTCGTATTGCTGTTTATTATCATTGACCTTATCGGTTTCAATCAATTAAGATAAGGTGCGCGATCAGCTGGCGGAGAACGTCTGGCGTGGAAGAAAAAGCGTCTCTCCTGACCTCGCAGCGCCAAGTAAATGATTCGTTGTTGCCCATTGAATATGTAATTATTAACCTTTTCGCGGCGAACAGCGCCTTTAGGCGCTCAGCTATAGATGCTCATTCTCAGCGAACAGCGCCGTTCGGCGCTCAGGCAAATTTACCCGCGGTGAACGAACAGCGCCAGATGGCGCCCATCCGGAGCCGCTCTCTTCGTACGAAGGCGCTGTTCGTTTGTTATCAACAACTGCCATTAATGTCCATTAAGTTGTTTTTGACGTGCTAGCAGCATACGCTTCTTGTGCAAAGGTTTTTTTTACATAGTCAAATATTATATACACACTGCGTTCGGAACGACTCGCGTATTTGGTCCGCGCGGTCGATCTGGCATCGGCTGTTTAGAGCGCAACTCTTTCCAGAACACTCCGCCGCGAAAGGGTTAAAATGCGTATGCAAAACTATAGTTTAATACTAAAATACTAAATATAGTGAAGAATATAATACATATTAATCAATAAACGCGTGCTAAATATATTAAAATTTATTATTCGCGCTGAGAGAAACGAGACGTAACGAGTAACGTATAGAGTAGAGATCGACGTATAGAGTAACGAGACGTTCGTTCGAATAAAACCTCGTTTGAACTTAAGATTTATTCGCACTTTTAATTCATCGTCAAGAGCAAAAGAGTGGTTCGCCTTGAGTCCGATTCTTCACAACAAACAATGAGCCGAAGCAATTTTCGTCGTTTCAGGTGGCCTGCACGAATTGGAAGCGCGTGCTGATGATCGCAATGGGGAAATTGGCCGCTAACGATCCTTTAGACATACCGGCCGACCTAGCTCATTCTCCAGGCACCTTTCAGAGATTGAGCAATTACACGCTGCCCGAAATAGAGAAGAAACTCGCGATGTACGATAAGTTGATCGTCGTGCGGCACCCTTTGGAAAGGCTTTTGTCGGCTTATCGAAACAAGCTGGAAGCCAAGCACGAAAAAAGCGCGAGATACTTCCAGAGCCGTTTCGGCAAGAAAATCATCAAGGTAGGAATCACTTTCCTCACACGATACGCCGATGATAGCTTGAGCTTTTCGAGTCGCTTAAGGGGTTCCTGAAATCGTCCTATTTTATCGGACTCCAGGATTCCTTTAAGAGGGGACACATCACTTGTGTGTCTAATGTGTGTGTAAGGATACGTAATACATGTACAAAATAATCTAATTTCAGTGCTTTTATTTTATTTTTTTAATAATTCCCTACAAGTGTCATGAGAATGTCAGTTTTAGAGTACAATTTCTAATAGAGTCGATCCTCAAACATCAAAAAATAATTATTCGCAAGGAAATATGAGATAATTCTTACAAAATAATCATATATTTTGGTAAAGAAGAGTTGCCAATGTTTGCCTTCATGCACATAAATTTTAATTTCTCCTTCGGGAAGGCTCTAAAAACAAAATGATATATCGATTTTGGAATTTTTCCTCCACATCCGCGCATTCACGTCGCAGCATTCAAAAGTCGTTTAACCGGGCGCTATTCTCGTCCTCAGAAATACAGGCCGAACGCTACCGAGCAGTCGTTAAAAAATGGCGACGACGTGACGTTTCACGAATTCGTCGATTTCATCACCGACAATTCCGAAAACGGCACGCGGAACGAGCACTGGAGGCCGATATACGAACTGTGCCAGCCCTGTGTAGTTAATTACAATCTCGTGAGTAAGTACGAGAGCCTGGTCGAGGATGCCACGGAGGTCCTCGAGCGGATTGGCGTCACGTCTGTGAGGTGAGCGTCAATGACCGAGCAATAATTCGCGGACGTCAGGATTTGCGTAACGTTTCGCACCGAAACATAAATTCCTGCGGTTTTCCAGCTTTCCGGGTAGGCCGCCGAGCAGCGAGCCGACGTCGAGAAAATTGGAAAGGTATTACTCCACTCTTAGCTACAAGCAGCTTCGTAAGCTGGCGGATCTGTACAAATTAGACTTGAGGTTGTTCGACTACTCGCTGGAGGATGTGCTGGGATTCTCCTTGGCCTGAGTTGTCTATTAATATTTTGCGGGACAAACGCATGCGTACCATGCTGGATGGAGATCAACGGGACGAAAACAACAAGCACGAGGCGAAACGAACGGCAAAGAGCTCGTGCTCGTTCCCCCGAATTACGATGAGAGTTATTCTGCGCTTTCTTGGAGGAGAAAGATCCATGTTCGTCTCTCCGATTGTGTCGATCGCACGACCCTCTGGTAATCTGCAAATGTCTCGAGATCGATCGACTAATGTTCCAACGATCGAAGAGCGAAGTTTCCAGGATTTCGAGCCCCGAGGAGGATCTGTGAATCTTGAGATTTTTTTTCTCTCTTCTTAGGTACGGAATTATTATTGCTCTTCGCAAATAGAATGTCCCGGATACTCGGGAACGACAGACAATGACAGATGATGAAATGTAGAAGACGATAGATTATTAACGACGAACTTTTGTTCTGTCCAAACGAAGTCTTATGTGTACTACCTCGTATCGTATAATATCGTATTGTATCGAGATCTTCTTTCAATCCTTCGTGGTCTGAGGTGTCTCTGAGGTTTCTTCTCCAGCCGATCTGTAAAATTCCACCAACTTCGTGACAAATATCGTGTAGCTCGTATTTACGTAAATATTTTAGTATTTGTTTCGTTATAATCTCCTATTGATTTCAGTATCTGAATCACACAACAGTGTATATTTAAAGTGGTACATTTATATCATGTTATATTAATGCAATACACCGAGAAAAAAGTGATAGAATCAACAGAATTTTGCTTAAACAGGCAACATTTTTTCAAGTACAATGTCTACTGAACAAATTATACAAATTATGCAATTGCTGTAATGAATTATTAATTAATTCAACGATTGTGACTTGCTCAACTATATCAACGTAACATATTGTCGCGCCGAGGTGTAATTTGTTCAGTGGACACAATAATTTTTTAAACGAAGGTGATCGTCAATTTGATCGGTTCAACCGTTTTGTTTCAATGTACATTTCAATACCAAAAATTGGTTTACAGGATCGGCTGGAGCGAAACGCAATATCGGCGTAGGTTGACCGTAAAGAGTTGATCGACAAGACGATTTTCACATTACGGCCACGATAAGATCATTAAATTAGTTAATTTTATCAACATGAAGAAGCAATCAAAACTAACACGTATGTATAGCAAGATGTACAAATATTTTTATGGAGCGGCGCTGAGAATACGCGATCGAAATACGAAATGTTCGGCAACCCGCGGAGTACGAATTGCGCGTGTCTATAATTTTTCAATTGTCGTCCTTTTACACACATACACACATAATGCCACACGTTGGATTTGTCTCGAATAATCGTTGCGCACGCTCGTGCGACATTTTTAATCGTCGTGTTTCAATTCACGCGGATGCGTGCTCGTGGCATATATGTCGGTACCGTTTATTTTTAAAATTACGGTGTTTTATACAGCAGAGCTTCGTGCCAAGAACTTAATGGTATTAAAGCGAATAAAAGAGCTTGTTTTGTTCGTGCCAAGAAAAAAGTCGCCGTCGGCCTCTGACGAGAGCCTAGTCTCGCGTTAAGTCGCGTAAAATATACGTCGCAACTTTTATATCGGCAATTTCTTTTTCTTTTATATGTATATATAAAAAGACGAAGCGCCGAAGTCAGGATATTCTCTATTTATACGCGTACTTCGGCACGGTGTCCTCGGTTAATCAGTGACAAAAATTTCGCCTCGCCATTTACGTAACGCGAACCGGGGTGTCGTATCGTGTGCCGAAGTTATGCGCTCTTCGTGTGTTGCCATACTTGCATTTACATGTATAATTATGCGTAGACATAGATGGGTATTATGTGCGTAAAAATAGCGTCTGTCTTGTATTCTTCTAAGGGAAGTCCGTCGAAATTCGAAGTGGTGGACATGCAATATCTCAAAAAGAAATAAAAAGAGAAATGTACTGAAATTGGAAAAAATGGGATAGTTTCCCGAAAAATCATTCTCTTCATTAAAATTCTTTTACTATGGCGCATAGTTATAGTATTATAGTTATAAATATCAAATATTTTTCTCTTAGTGAACGTTGAGACTTTCTGATTACAATTGTATATTTTCGGTATTTCGGGGAAAATTGTTTTTCGGGAGATTTCGTCTTGGTATTTCGATTTTTCAGGGAATCCCACGTATCGAATTTCGACATTTTTCTTCCTCGGAGGCATTGCGTGTCCGCACCGTCGAAGCTGCACAGTTACCAAGCGACCAATCGCTCGTCACAACAATGCGCGCGTCCACTGTGGAAAGAATTGTCAAGGACGCGATGCGTCTTGCATTTATTCAGCAATAAATTGTAACGATGATATCGTGAATGTCGATTGTCAATTGTGCCCGTTCTTATTCGATCGGTCTAACTTACAAATTAATCACGATTCGCGTTCGACGAGATCGAGGCGGATGAACGGCGAGCCTGATAGAAAGTTATAATTATTTTCGGTGCCAAATATACCCACTTTTTGATTTTAGTCACAAAAGTAGTTAGGAGAACCATTTATTAAATGTCATTATAGTGTCAGCGATAATAACTTTACGTACATGTCGCTACTACTATAAAACATGGTTGGCACTGAAAATAATGATAATTTCCTATCGGTGTGGCGATTTTTCGTCGCCGACACGCTCCGCAGATTTCAATCTAAGTTTAAACCCGTTGCCGTTGATTAACGATATTTTCCCGCTGAAAGCGCGGCCGTGGAATCGTGGCGTTACTTCGAGCTAGTGCGCGCGCTAGATCTTCACGAGAAAGACACGCGTTATGTAACGTCAGCTGGAGGTTCAGGTCGGCCGTCGGTCTGTATATTGTCCATCGAGATTGATGTTTGGCTAACGAGTTAAATTTAGACGGAAGCTCGAAAATGACGGACGGCCCTCTATATTGGCACAAACATTCAGCTAACGAAAGAGAGAGAGAGAGAGAGTGAAAGCCTCGATTCGCGCCGCTCGTCAAGCTTCGCTCGTGCAACTTCTCGAATAATTATACCCTTCGACGTCGACGTGCATCGGTATCTGGAGGTTCCGCCAATCTTACTTCTTTTCATATTTTTGGCTTTCGCGGGTTTTGTGAGGAAAGCCCGGAAATTTCGGGTCGTTCCTCTCTGAGGAAGCGAACCGAAACGTCCACGGAATGCCGTCCGGGAGCAAATCCACGAAGGACGCCGCGCTAACTCAAGCCAAATTGAGCTTGCTTTTTCATTCTTCTTCTTCCTCCTCTTCTCCTCGATCCCGAAGAAGCGATCTCGCGCGATCGTCGCGGCAATTCACCCCGCCCCGAGTCGTTCGGATTTAGCGGCGTTTCTATCAAGGAAGTTCACCGGCGAAACTTCCATAATGCCTTAATATAAACCCAAGGTAGCGGAACTCGTTGCTCGTTCCGAGTCCCACCATCAACGAGGTGGTGGGATTTCGTCTTCTACCAATCCCGGGGCCAGAAGGTGCCGGACGGGCGCCGTCGCACGGCGCGATTGACTAGGTGGGGCTGCCGGTGATGCGATTCCTGGAGGAATTCTCGGGATCACCTGGGGGTCCGAGCGCGGATCTTGCGTAGCGCGCCACTAGTCTGCGATCGCACGCAAAGTGGCGTGGCCACGCACACGTTTGCCGAAGTTTCGAGCGTGATTTTGGGGAATTCGCAGGGAGAAAAGCGGAGAAGCCATACCTATCACCGGGTGTCCTCGTAATACATAAATTAACATTCGTTGCATTTCTCAATTCGAACGCTCGACAAAGTCACTGCGATAGAAAGACTGGGTCCTATCGCCTATCGCCGTTAGTTCGCGTTTAATAACTCGATCATTTGTGAGTATAGTCGCCGTACTTCCTCGAGTGAGGATCGATTGATCGATCACTTGCGATCGGCGATAGCATCGATCGGCAGAAAAGCACGTAACACGGAAAACCCGAATTTGGGAAATTTAATCGAGATTTAAGGGGAAACTCACTTGTCGATTGATCTTAACCCGCAAATTCATTTATTATCCGCGAGGAGGGTGAGCGCACAAGCGTTTGTCGAGCTAGCAGGGAACGATCGATCGACTTTTGAGCTGTGAGGAATGAAAGCGAAAAGCGATAATCGGAGGGGGGGGGGGTAGTGCGTTCAGTGAATAATGCATTTCACCTGTAACAACAGAGTGTGCCGCCCGTACCAGCCAGAAGATGCCACAACCGGCCCACGAAACGAAGAACATTCTGATGACGTACTTGATACTCATTCTCCTACTAATCTCGCTCTGGTTACTATACTCGGGGATGTTTTATTAAGCACGATACATTCCTCATCATGGTAAGTGTCAGTCGCGTACATTGAGAAAAACAAAGATCTTAGAAATGAAAAATATTTGCACGATGGAATAGACTTACATCGATGTACATATTTTTACACGGAAGTTTTTTCAAATGAAGAAACATACATTTTCATAAATCTGTGGCTTTTCTTGAGAGAACAATTGTTTATTCTATCTGAATCAAAGAACTGTATAGTCTCGGTCTAGAAAACGGCCAGGCATTTATGACTCATTGTCTATACTGGTGAATATTTCCAAACCTTGATTTTTATCCACGAGATGATATCGACTTGCACCGAGCCGGGCCCGGATTTTTCGCGTTTTCCACCACGCGATCTTGGAAGAGCGTATTTTAAGTAAAACTCGTGTTTCTAAGATTCTAAGAGCTCTTATTTGGAATCCGCGGGGACAGAAAAATAGTTGTTGCTATGGTCATTGAGTTAGATCGAACACTTAACTTCAGCCTTCCTGTTTACCATCGTTCGTTTTAGTCCTTGATCTTTCCAAATCTCTATGTCACCGTACCGATAAATCGCCGTCGATAATCACCATCGTTTTTATCGACGATACGAGTCGGTCGGTCGCTGAATTCACGATGATAATATTAAACAGACTTGCCATTTATTAATCAACTCGGGGGCATGAATTCTCTCGCGTTGTTTCGACACGACGGCATTTTAAATGTGATACGTCGTATTTTAGGGCTGAAGAACAATGAGAACACGTGTCGCAGGGCAGATGCATGCGGAGGACTCAGGATTGCTATGGACACACCTCATTCGAAGCCCACCGGCTCTCTCTCTCTCTCTTTCTCTCTCTCTCTCTCTCTCTCTCGCGCCATCATTTGTTCTCGTACTACGTTCTACAATATATTTAGGTGCCTTGAAGATAATCGCGCGCAAATCGCTTTCTCATTGTTCCGCAATCGATCGATCGGGACCGTTTCCGCCATCGGTTTTTCCATCGTTTTCCTCGAAAGTTCAGAAAGATTCCGGGGGCGGAAACGTGGCGGGAGTTAGGAAGGAGCAGCAGCGAGGGGATGAAGCGCGAAAATTTCCTCACACCCTCGTCGCTTGATCGACTTCTCCGAACGCTCCGTCGCGGAAATCGGCTTCCTCATTGAAAATAATTCTCGAATTACATTACGCTAATTATATTGTCTTAGACGAGAAGAAACGCTGCGGCGACGGCGGCAGTCGGACACGAAATGATGTATTTATTGTGTCCGCCGATTTGCAAACGCGTGTCGTCGTCGTCATCGTCAACGGAATCTGTCCTCGTTCGAAATCGTCGATCGTCAATAAATAACGTCTAAGATCAGCTCCGAAAGCGTGGCGCGCTCGTCGTATCGCGGGTCGCTGTTTTATTTTCTCCTCTCTCTCTCTCTCTCTCTCTCGATCATATTTTATTATTGTATTGTATCGCACACATGAAGAAAAATAATTCTGCTGATAATTTTGCGGCGAAACCATCGTTGTTACCGCGTTACCGTTGGGACCGTAGCGAGAAAATTTAGCCGGCAAATTGGCGAATTATTTGTAACTGGAGGAAAAAAACAGTCTCGTCGCCAGGATAGAAAGAAGAAAATCTGCTAAGATTCGAATTTGTCCTTAGGATACGTTGACTTGGAACGAAATAGCGCTTTCCCGCGTTTACTGATTTCTATCTTACAGCAAAATAATTCGCATATTCAGCAAAACGATGGCAGTGAGCGGCGAATCGGTATTCTTAAGGAGTCGTCTCGCCGTTCACGCAGTATCCTGACAGGATCTCGCTACGACAAATTCACGTCGGAAATTTGCCGCGCCGGCGAATTATTTTTCCCTCGCGGATTTGCTCGCAGGCTAAATCTCTCTTCGATGATAGCGCAGACGACGAAATAAATCTCTCTTCGTTCGGAAGGTCGACTGAAGTTTATTTCGCCGATAACTTATCGCCGCTCCGGAAATAGTTCGTCGTTACGTAGTCGGTGGTATGGGAGGGGGTCGTTATTCGCGCTTACGCTGTGAATTCTGCGAGATGTTCTCGAAAAGGGCGCGAGATTGCGAGGTAAAGGAAGAGAGGAAAAGAATAAGGAAATGCGCGGCTACCGCCGTGTGCGCGTATGTGCAACAAGTGTAGAGATATCTACCGTCGGCGGTGGAAGAGAAACGATGCGATGACGATGATGTGTTCGCCATGTGTGGGCGTTTCTCCAAAAATAGGTTCGGCGCCTCCAGCTCTCATGAAGTTTCGGACGCGGGCGTTGCGGATATAGAGAACTAAAATCGGTATTTTCGACAGCCGCCACGAAAATAACCGGATAACGTGATTAGCATGCACTTCAATAGCCCGCCGGCAATTAGCCGTTAACGAAAAGCTTTCAGCGGCTTTTACGTAATTCGAGATTCCTGCGAAACTCATCGGCTCCGGCGCAAGTATCGAATTACTCGCTTATTTTATATATATATATATACATATATATATATATATATATATATATATATAT